ATTTTCTGAGTACCAATTGCTCTTATAGTTATCATCTATAGGATTGAATAAGGGAAATTTTGATAGCAATAGGATTCCATCAAGCGATTTGTAAAACTTTTGGTTTTTAGCTTTAATACAATCTTTTTGCTTGGTGTTTCTAAATAAAATCTCCATGTTCAACTCCTTTTTATGGTCTCGCCTTTCAATGTTGTTGGAGGTCCTAGTAGGGCTAAAATGTTCCACCCTTTTTCTAGTCTTCAACCTGTGGAATGGACCAGCCAGTTGTCCTAGTTGTCAAACATCAAGTGTGAATGCAAAACCTCAAAATTTTCAGATAGACAACTTATAGTACCTTTTTTATTTTATTTATTTTTAACAACTTAATAGTACCTTAACTTTCTGCTGATTAAATTAAACGTTTCCTTATGAGTTTCATGTAAAATTTTCTATTTGTGGCCTAAATTGGTGGGGAAAAAAAGAGATTAACTAGGTTCCTTTTCTGGGACTCTCTTTTTGTTGTCAGGAGATAGTTTTGGATTATGTTTGAGCTGGCATGACCTTTGATTTGCCGTTTGTACTGTTTGGATTTGAATTATTTGGTGATTCCAGTGTATGTTTCAAACCATATGTAACATTTCTTTTCAGACTGTCTTTTTTATGTGTATTGGGAGATAAGCTTGTTGGTGAGGTCAGCAGGCTTATGGTTGCCGAAGCCTGCAATCATGCAATGGACATAGTGATGAGTGCATTTCGTACTATGTTTTTAGGCATGTAATTTACCTCTTTATACTTTAATTATGGGTCAATTAGGTTAGGATTATATGTTTATAGGCTAAGTTAGTGACTAGTGGTAATCCAGGTGCTGAAATGCAATATGATTAGAAAGGTGGTCAAAATGTGGCAAATTGGTGAAGTTTCAGGCCAAATTGGAAGATGTTGCAGGGACTGAAGTGCAAGGGCTGAAGAAGAGTAAGAATCAGGAAGGAAGAGAGCCAAATTGGGGGAAACCTTCGAAGATAAGGAAGAAGAGCGGTTGGAGAAGTGATGCTGCTGACATTGGAAGAAGATTGATGTGCCTTAAACCTGATTAACTCAGCCAAATCATTCCAAAAGATGATTAGAGGTAAGGGGAAGTTGGAGGAAGTATGTGTCTCCTCTCTTTTGCTTTAAACCCATCGGGTAATGAGGAGACCAACTTGGCTAAGCAAGGATTACTCCCCCAACCTCTATAAAAGGCAGCAGCTGCTGAAGATGAAGGCAATCAGACCAGAATACACTTAGAAGTAGAATAGATTGTAGTGTTTAGTTCAATTAGGAAGCAACAAAGTATAACTCTGAAAGGTGGACTCAGGGGTGTCACTTGGGGAAGTGAGAAGATGACTCTACGTAGTTAGCTGCACTTTACCACACTCCCTGACTTTGCTCTTACCATGTTTTCTTCTCTTTTTGTTGTAATCAGGATGAAGTCTCAACACTTGAGCTCTGTGGTGTTTGAGCTTCACTCCATGAGTAGCTAAGCTCCTTTCTAGGGTCTAATCCCTCTACTCTATATAATATGTTTTGATTCATGCTCTCGGATGATATTTATATGCTTAGTCTTAGAGTTTAAATTATCCTTTTAGATTGAACTTGCCATTCAAACTAATTGTGCTTGTATGTTAGGGGAATCCTGGAAGGGTAAACTTAACTTAGAACGTCTAAGATTAACCGGTGACGAGGGTGTAACATCCCAAGGTTTTAAACAACAACGGAAGTTAATTGTTTGGGACGAGGCAATCATAAAGGCCAAAGATCTTAATGGCTTAGTAGTAATTCAGAGTCGACAACGGAAGTTAGTTTACTTGCTACTATTATGACTACTGTCTGGAACAATCGGAAGTGACCTTACAGTGTTTATGTGCCTGATTGAATATAGTTTCATACCACATAGAGAGCTAAAGATATATGCATATAGAGTAGAGTGGAGGACGACCCTAGGCTGCCATCACTTTGCCAAGTCATAAATTCAGGAGGTGCCTGGTTCACTAAGGGTTTGATACTCTTCAATGGGGTTCATAGAGAAACGATGGCTAAGGGTGTCAAAGCCTCATTTTAAATGATTGATTTTGATGTTATAGAAAAATTATAAGTAATATAAAATGTCATTTTTACCATTAACCCTATACTCTCTAATTTCACCCTTTCTCCTCCATTACCCCGCCCACCAGCCACCACCACTACTTGTCTTCTCTTCCCGCCGTCTTAGCCCAAGAACAATAACTGGGATTAACAACACAAATTGAATACAAAATCAATGGTGTGTGCCAAATTCACTAAAAATAAATACTAGCTGGATTATAATTTTTGTAGATAATGGAAGTTAGGTCGATCCCACGAGGACAACTAAATCACCTAATTTGTTGTTAACAGACTACCAGTTCAGACAAGGTGTCTCTCAGGGGAATGAAAACGTTCACTCAGGGGAGTATAGACAGGGGTGTTCATCTCCTCTTCCTATTGCAGCAGTTGTGTAAATTGCACTTTAATGGTTAAGTTCGTGTTCATTCAGCTCAGATGTAACTCTAAGTCAGTTCCCATTTTTCCTAGAGTTATCTTTGTAACTTTAACAATCTATTTTCCAATGATTAAGTCTAGTTATAAAGTCATTAAGATCTCAGGATTATATGAATGCTCATGTCAACTAAGTATATTCCTATCTTAGTTAAAACCATAGATTGTTACCTTTATGTCACAAGTTGAAGTTGAAATAATCCAAACCAAGTTTATCCTTCCAGATTTCCCCTAGTTCTAGCAGCCATTCAATTAGTGATCAAGTAACTGAATGTAGAAACACATCCAACTTCAAAACATAGAACAAAACCAATGCATTACAACCAATACAACATAGGTTGAGGAGATTAACCCCTGGAAGCTATTTAGCTACTCCTACTGGTTGAGGCTACTGCTACTACTTCAACAGACATCATAGAAGTATGCATCAATGAAATGAAATACAAGCTAACAGTTAAGAGAAGAAGACAGCTTATTCAATTCAAGTTGTCACTCCTGGGAGTGACAGAGTTCACTCAGGAGAGTGAACCAGTGACTGGTCTAACTGTTCTTCAACTCTGCCTCTTGCTGAGTTGCTGTTGTTTTTCCTTGCTCTTGCCTTCCTTCTAGAGTTTCTCTGTGTGCTCTAGTCAACTGAGAGAAGCAGAGATAGATTATTCCCCTGCTGGAAATGCAGCTCCCCTTTTTATAAAACCTTGTTGCCGATTCCTCTCCCTAGAGAGCTATTCCATGCTTGTGTAATTTTTTTATTTCCCCCATGCTTTGTGTCTTGAACCCCAAATTGACTGGTCTCTTGCCCACTCTTCCTGTAATGGTATCAGCAGCAACATTGCTCAATGTAGGTGGCTAGTTCTCCATTCAAAGGGGACAAGCATGCTCTTTAGCTTTTATTATGGAACACCTTTATTAACTCCCAATGTGTCTTGTGTCTTGGAGTTGCTTTTTTGGCTCAGCCCATGCTTCTCAATTATGAAATTAGCAGCCCAATTATTGCTTCATAAGCCTCCAATTTTCATCACTTGTTCATTCAGGTCCATCCCTTCACAAAAACATAAAACTTACTAAGTAATGTGAATTAATTCTAAGAAGCACCCCCAAATTTTCAATTAATTAGAGAGTAAATTGCATTGCTTTTATATAACAAATTGATCGTTATCAACTCCCCCAAACTGGAAGAATTGCTTGTCTTCAAGCAAAACAACTAGACTCTTACGGATGTTTCAATAATCACACATGAGAGATAGGGAAAACAACACTACCAAATTGGCTCAATACTGGCTAACTTCCCTGAGTGAAGGTGCTCACTCAGGCAAATGACACTGCACATAGAAACACAATACAAATCACATCTGCCAGGGGCTGTCAACCTTTTGTCTCATATTCAAGTGAGAAAAGATACACTTAAGGACACCAAATTCTTCTGCAATCCATAATCAAACAGCCAACCTTCACATGAAATTTATAATACATGCCACAAGTGTAAGTTTATGCCTATCCTACCAATCCATTGTAAGTTAACCGGTTAAGTTTTTGGTGGTCATTCTTGTGATCTGGTCTTGTTTAAGTTACTTCAACTCGAATTACCTACTGAGGCCTTAACCTTGGACATCCTTCACAGCCTTTCTGTCTTTTTTTTTTTTGAATGTAGTTGTGGACCAACCTACACCTTTGGGAGGGGTGTTATTTATCCTTATCTCTCCCCTTATTACTCCAAACAGCTAAGGACTGTGGTGATCCCTTACTGTACCTAAGGTTTCGGTTGATCAACCTTTTTTTTTTTTTCAGAACAAGACAAGTTGTGAATGGGTGCCAGAAAAGAAGTCTCCGGTTTACAGTGTTTTCTCGTCTACTTGTAGCCTTAAACTAGACACTGATCACAATAATGTTGTCATGCCAAATTTTAGAAATTATGTTCTAAGCAGTCACTTCCACGAGTGGCATGGTTTATGTGTGTGAGTAAAGTGTCAGCCATTCTTTCATTTCATGCATCAGACTCAACATCCAAAGTGTTTTAGCAAAATTTTTCAAAACCATTATCATCCTAAACTGTTGACAGCTCCTTTTAGAAAAGCTTTTCATTTATTTTGAAAGCAGTTTTACAGACTCGATTTTAGACATTAAAAATACTTAAACCTAAAGGACCTAACTGACAATAGTCCTAAACCAAACTACTCCACGAAACTTATTAAAAGCATTGCCCTCAATGCTTACAATAATCCGAACAAAGCAAAATAAATCAACAGTAATCAAAACACAATAACAGAAAAGAAAAAAAAAAGAAAAAACAAGAGTTCACAGTTCAACAGGATAATTTAAACAGCTGATTGGGGACAGTAGAACAACACTTCCCTGGGTGTTTATGGAGCCATCCACTGGAGTGGATGGGCTGGTGGAGCATGCGGCAATGAGCAGTTTTTAGGGCATCCAATGCATTTGTGCATTTCCTGCAAGAATTGCTTAGTCCTCATCTAGCACTGGTGGACATAATCCAGGATGAACCGAGTCTGCTTGTTGAAGTCTCTTTGCCTCAATTGTCCAGCTGGAGTTGGTGTAGGTGCTGCTTGTCCTGAAGAAGATGCACCTGGAGGTCTCTGATCCAATTTAGAAAGCCTTAAAGGTTGTTGCAGGCTGCTCTCAGTGTCTGTGCTCAAAAAGGTCATCCCTGCCCTTCTGCAAAGCATGGTGATCATAACTGGGAAGTACCAGCTCTTCACCTTGGGATCTTTGATACATCTGGTGAATTGATCCCGGATCATTGATGCTGCATCAAACGGTATGTCTGTGACAATGACATACAACAACAGAGCCTGTTCGTAGGCAACCTTGGTAGTGTAGGACGTCGACATCAGGTTGCAGCAGATGAAATGATGCCATAAGTTCAGATCAAGCGTTTGCAATGCATTAGCTGGGAATCCTAAGGGATTGTCCTGATCATCCTTTTCCCAGTCTGCACCTTCCTTTGCCAATCTAGACAGAATGGCTTATTCCAATGGATGATTCGGATGCAGGGCAACAAGGGTGTCTTTGTAATCTGTGCTGACTCTTGGCAATTTCTAGATTGCTCTAATAGCCTTTGTGCTGCAGTTGACAGATATTCCTCTGACAAACACTCCATCTTTGGGGGCGGTGGAGAAATTGCCGTAAAACTCCTGCAGAATCTGAGTCCTGGGCCGAATAAGGGGCATAGAGAACGTCTCCCATCTATGGCGTTTGATGTAGGCAAAAGTTGCACTGTCTTTGCCGATTCCCCTCTCTGTAATAATCTTCCGCTTTAGATGCTTTAGCAAGAAATCCCAGGCCTTTTTTCTGGGGAAGAGTCTTGGCTCCCACTCGTCTGTGAGAGTGTTGAGAGCCTGTTCATGGAGAACCCTTGGTGGCTGTGGGGGTGGCGGCGGAGTAGGCTCCCTTTCAGGGGAGGGTTGCCTTTCAGGATAGGACGGTGGTGTGGGTTCTACATGCTCTTCAGGAGAAGACGAGGGTTGCCGTCTTCTAGTCTTGGAAGCGTTTTTGCGGGCAGCAACCTTTCTTCGTGCCGGCGGCATGATTCAAGAACCCTAAAGCTGAATTGGAAATTGGATGTGATTTTGGTCTAAACTGAATTTTTGCCTTAGTTGCCTGAAATCTCAGAGAAAGGGTTAGTGCATTCACACACAGGGGAGTGGTATTTGAAGGGGCAAAGGGGTTCAGTTTGGAAGAGGAAGACAAAGAAGTGGAAGAGTTTCAATTAAATGCAAAAGTAATTAAAACCTTGGAACTTGTGGCTGACTAAGGGGGCCTTTAAACGGACGCGGTTGAATTCGAAATTTGAAAAATTTCAGGAAATTCTCCCCCTCAAACTTAAATTATAAAATGAAGTTCAAAAAGTAATTTGCAGAAAGTGTTGTCTAGTTGTTCTTACTCAGGCGAGTGAATTCCCCACTTGCGTGAGTGACGTCAGGGTTTGAATGACTTATAGAATCAAGTTGCTGTAGGTTCACTCGGCTGAGTGACCTTCTTCACTCCTGGGAGTAAGTTTACCTGAGGCTTTTTATGTTTGCACTTTCTGAAATCAAATTGGGGTGGCAAATACCTCCTTCGTTCCTGTAAAATTAGCATATCAACAAAATTAGCCACACAAAAGCAAAAACGTATGAGTTGCCTCCCATAAAGCGCATTGGTTTTAAGTCCCATGCCAGACTTCAAAAGAATTTCAGTTAAGCTCCTTTAGGACCAGAACATGACTGTCCTGTCCCTTACTCCCTTCTGTCAATCCAAGGTATGGTTTTAGCCTCTACCCATTAACCAGAAAGGTGTTGCCGTTTTGTGGATTCATGATTTTATCTGCTCCTTGATTCAAAACCTTGTTGTTTCTGTAAGGGCTAGTCCATCTTGACTTCAACTTTCCTGGAAAGAACTTCAGCCTGGAATTGAAAACAATAAAACTTATTGCCCTTCTTGCAGTTTCTTCTTTACAATATGTTGATGTTGATCATGATAGACCTTAGTTTTCTCCTTGTAAACTCTAGATGATTCATATGCCTCCAGCCTGAACACTTCCACCTCATTCAATTGCATCAATCTGAGTTCCTTGGTTCTCCTTGGATCAAGATTCAGTTCCTGTATAGCCCAATAAGCCTTATGCTCCAATTCTACTGGCAAGTGGCATGCTTTCCCATAGACCAGCTTGAATGGGGACATACCAATGGGGGTTTTATAGGATGTTCTGTATGCCCACAGAGCTTCATCCAACCTTGAAGACCAATTCTTCCTGGTAGAGTTGACAACTTTTTCCAGGATTCTCTTCATTTTCCTGTTTGACACTTCTGCTAACCCGTTTGATTGTGGATGGTATGGTGTTGATGCTCTGTACCTGATCCCATATTTTTTTACCATGGTTGCAAATGACTTGTTACAGAAGAGTGATCCATTATCACTGATTATCATTCTGGGTGTACTGAACCTGGTGGAGATGTTTTTCCTTAAGAACTTGAGAACAGTCTTGGCGTCACTGTTTCTTGCAGCTACGGCTTCTATCCGTCTTGAAACATAGTCCACTGCCAGCAGGATGTAGGAATTTCCAAAGGATGACACGAAAGGACCCATGAAATCTATCCCCCATACGTCAAACAGTTCTACTTCAAGCATAATCTGTTGTGGCGTCTCATTTTTCCAAGAAATGTTTCCTATCCTTTAGGATCTGTCACAGCCCTTGACAAATTCGCGTGCATTTCTGAACAGGGAAGGCCAATACAGTCCAGATTGCAGAACCTTGATTCCTGCCCTTTGGCCACTGAAATGTCCACCATATGGAGAGCTATGACATTTGTGCAACACTTCTACAAATTCGGTTTCTGGAATACATCTTCTGATCAATTTGTCTGCACATCTATTGAATAGGTAGGGTTCATCCCACAGGTAGAGTTGAGCATCATTAAGGAATCTTTTGCCCTATTGAGGAGTGAAATCTGTAGGAATAACACCAGTAGCAACAAAGTTAGCAAGATCTGCAAACCAGGGTCTGTTACCTGTCACTCCCATGAGTGTGCCTGTCACTCGTCAGAGTAACTCATCAGGGAATTTGTCTAAAATTGGAGTTGTATCTTCTGGAATTTCTTAAGTCTTGACAGATGGTCTGCCACTTGATTTTCAGCACCCCTTCTGTCCTTTATCTCCAAATCGAATTCCTATAACAGTAACACCCATCGGATCAATCTAGGCTTAGATTCCTTTTTATTGATTAAATACCTGATGGCCGCATGGTTTGTGTAGACTATGACTTTCATTCTTAGCAAATAAGCTCTGAATTTGTCAAATACAAACACAATTGCTAGCATTTCCTTCTCTGTAGTAGTGTAGTTGACTTGTGCAGGATTGAGAGTTTTACTAGTATAGTAAGCCACATGCAACAACTTATTCCTTCTCTGCCCAAGTAAATCACCAACTGCAAAATCACTAGCATCACCCATTAGTTCAAAAAGCAGTGACCAATCTGGTGTGATGATTACAGGTGCAGAAATGAATTTCTTTTTCAGTTCAGTAAATGCATTTAGAGAGGATTCATCAAAAATAAAAGCAATGTATTTTTCAAGCAAATAGCACAATGGTTTAGAAATTTTTGAAAAATCCTTAATAAACCTCCTGTAAAAGCCAGCATGGCCTAGGAAACTCCTTATTCCCTTGACTATTGTTGGTGGGTTGAGCCTTTCTATGACTTCAATCTTTGCTTTGTCCACTTCAATTCCCTTCTGTGAGATCTTATGCCCCAAGACAATCCCCTCAGTTACCATAAAATGGCACTTCTCCCAATTCAGGACTAAGTTTTATTCTATGCATTTCTTCAGTATCAATCCAAGATTGTCCAGGCATGCATCAAACGACTTGCCAAAGACTGAGAAGTCATCCATGAAGATCTCAATTATATCTTCCACCATATTAGAGAAAATGGCCATCATACATCTTTGAAATGTTGCAGGTGCATTGCATAGTCCAAATGGCATTCTCTTAAAGGCAAATGTGCCATATGGGCAGGTGAACATCGTCTTTTCTTGATCTTCAGGATCTATGGCAATCTGGTTGTAACTCGAAAAACCATCAAGGAAACAGTAATACATGAATCCAACCAATCTATCTAGCATTTGATCAATAAAAGGGAGTGGAAAGTGGTCTTTTCTGGTAGCTTTATTAAGCTTTCTATAGTCCATGCACACTCTCCATGCATTGTTCAGCCTTGTAGGGATCAGCTCTTGGAGATCATTCCTTATTACTATGATTCCTCCCTTCTTGGGCACGCACTAAACTGGACTCACCCACTTACTGTCAGATATTGGGAAGATGATTCCAGCGTCTAGTAGCTTAATAATTTCCTTCTTTACCACTTCCTTCATGACTGGGTTGAGCCTTCTTTGTCCTTTTATGGTTGGCTTGGCATCATCTTCAAGTAGAATCTTGTGCATACAGATGGAAGGATTGATGCCCTTAATGTCTGCAATTGACTATCCAATGGCTTCTTTGTGCAACCTCAGCACCCTTAGCAACTTATCCTCTTCAGTACCTGTAAGCATAGAAGTAATAATCACAGGTAAAGTGTTACTTGCTCTAATATAGGCATATTTCAAATGTGAAGGCATAGGATTAAGTTCTAGAGAAGGTGGCTCTTCAATTGAAGGCTTGATGCATCTTCCTTCCTTAGTCATGTCCAACAGCTCAAAGGGTTGTTGTCTAGGATGCCACTTGGGGGAGTGGTTCAGGTAACTCAGGCAAGTGAGCCTGTACTCATCTTCCCCTTCATGTTCTTCACTGATGTCTGGAGACAAGAGTTCCTTGAGGAGCTCGTCTTGTAGCACTTCTTCTATCACTGCTTCTTGTACTTCTACACTCTTCACCATATAGCAGTTGTGGACTTTGGCAGGATATCTCATGTTTTTGAAGATGTTGAAGGTGACTTTCTCCCCATCAAAGTGCAGTGTGATTTCCCCTTTTTTCACCTTGATGATTACATCACTTGTTGCCAGAAGAGGTCTCCCTAAGATGATGGGCACATCCCTGCCTTCTTCCATGTCCAAAACCACAAAATTTGCTGGGTGAACAAAATTTCCAACCTTCACAAGAACATCATGTAAAATTCCCTTTGGATAGGTTAATGACCTGTCTGCCAACTGCAATGTCATGTTAGTAGGCACCAAAAATTTATCCAGATCAAGCGATTTAAATACAGACAATGGCATGAGATTTATACTTGCACCAAGATCTAGTAATGCTTTCGAAAATTCTCTGATTCCTACAGTGCAAGGAAGAGTGAAACTACCCGAATCTTTTAGTTTAGGGGCAGTTTTCTTAGAATAGCTGCATTCTTCATTTAGAGTAATAAAAGCAGAATCATGCACTTGTGGTTTATTAGCTACCAGATCTTTCAAGTACTTGAAATATTTAGGCATTTGTTTAAGCACATCAACAAGTGGAACATTGATATGTATACTTTCCAAATTTTGAATAAACCTGTAAAGCCCTTCATCCACCTTCGCCTTCTTTTGTCTCACTGCATATGGTGGTATTGCATCATGTGGCTTTTGACTTGATGCTGGGATTTTGATTTCCTCCATTCCAGGTTTTTCCACTGATTGCTCCTGTTCAACCAAATGATCATCATCAGATCTTTCTCAGAAGATTTTTCCTTATTACCTGTTGGGTCACTCGCGGGAGTGACTTTTTCACTTTCTGAGTGAGCTGTTTTCCACTTCTGAGAGTGATAGCCTTTGCTTGCTCTTGATCATTTCCCTTGGGATTAACAATTGTATCACTTGGTAGACTTCCGGATGGTCTTTCGGCATTTTGCTTTGCAATCTGGCTAACTGATTTTCCAGACTTTTGCAAGATACAGTCAAATTCTTAATTGCATTCTGCACAGATTTCCATTCATCTTCCCTTGGTATGTATTGCTGATTAGAACGTTGTTGATTCTGATAATTGGGAGGTTGGTTGTCTTGTCTGTGAAATCCTGGGGGTTGAGCAGACCTCTGATAGTTTCCTTGTTGTGGTGCATTGTTCCAGTTGGGGTGCTACTGGT